GGGGATGGGTGGGGGGGCAGCAATCAATTCAATAGTGTGGCAATGTTCTCCTTAATTTTTTTTTTTTTTCACAGGAGGCAAAACGGATCTGGTGGAGGTTCCTCTTATCCTTCCAATGTACGTGATCAGTCTCTTTAATAATTGTGCAAGGCAGGACTATCCCACTGGCTCCAGCAGCGTCTTACCCGGAGAGGGTTCGGGTGGATAAATAATTAAAATCCTATCCCTCGGCTTAGCGAAGAAAAAAGAAAATATTGACTTGGATCCTTCTTCTTTTCCATACATCAACTGCACCCGGATTCACCCTGGATAGTGCAGGTGAAGAAGAGGAGGGAAAAAAAAAATAAAAAAAAAAAAATAAACAAACGGAAAGAAGAGAAAAAGCCCACCCTAGTCCGCCCCGGCAGCCCTCGGCTGTCTTGTCCGAAGGCTTTCTGAGCTTTCTGTCTCTGTCCTGGCGGGCTGTGCCTCTCCCCAAAGCCGCCTCGCCGCGCAGGATGGAAGAAGCACTGAAGGGCACACTGGTCTCTTTGCTCCCCCTTTATTCCAAGGCTGGGCGGCTTTGCTTCAGATATCCCCGCTCCGGGCATGAAGGTACTGGAAAGAAAGAAAGTTCTTACCTGCTATTTTCTAAGCCTAATGCATCCGATCCGGGTTTAAAATACATAATTTTTAATTTTTAAAAAATGGTCTGTGAGAATTTCACTTCCTCATATTGAGTCCCATTGAATTTTCAAATGCCCTTTCAGGAATTTTCCTCTGTTTATTTACATAGCAATCCCAGCCGATGGAAGGAAAAAAGGAAAAAAAAAAAAAAAAAAAAAAAAAAAAAAAAAAAAAAAAAACCCAAAATAAAAAAAAAAAAAAAAAAAAAAAAAAAAAACCCCAGCCGATGGAAGGAAAAAAGGAAAAAAAAAAAAAAAAAAAGAAAGAAAGAAAGAAAGAAAGAAAACCCATATATATGAGACAGGCTTGGATATTGGACCAGAGGAGAGATCAGTCCCAGGAGGATGTTGGTACAGGAAAGGAGGCGGCTCTCGTTGCTCTGCCAGTGTAATGATGGTGCTCACACATGTAGGACTCCTCGGGTGCGGGGTATCCTTTGGTCTCTGGGCTAAACTGTCTACAAGGCATTCAAGTAAGTTTGCGTGCGGATGCTAAGCATAAATCCCCGTTTTGTAAAGGGGGAAGAAGAAAAAAATCCTGATTTTTTTTTCCCTCTCCCTTTGCCACAGCTTCAGTTCACGCCGGAGATCTCCGCGCTGCCCCCGGTCTCCCCCGCCGCGTCAGGCAGGACACCCCCTCCGCGGGGGGTGAAGGCTCCGCCGCAGCGCTTCCTCTCGTCGCCTCTCCGCGGCCGCGCCCGCCCGCGCCTCCGCCATCCAGCGCCCGGCTCCGCGCCCCCGCTCCGCAGCCGTGCGGCACCTCCGCGGCTGGGGCACGACTCCGGCCCGCGCCCGGCCGCGGGATGC